CCCCCAAACTGAAACACAGCCACTCTCAGCAACAATGTCCTGAGCTCCTCTGATGATAACAGCCAAGTTCATACCAGGGAAGCCAGCATGACAAGCTCCTCCAGGTAAACCAATAGTTTCAAAGATCCAACTGCTTCAAACAACAAGAGCAAGAACAACATTTCTCTTCCTCTCCAGGTATGCTTTTTATACTGATGACAATCCACAGGTAGGCCATCCATGCTCCACACCAAGATGATTCTGTCCAGCTAGTACCACCAGTTATGAATCCACCACAGATTGTAAAGTTTGCTATTTCTCTTTACCTAATTGCATGTCCTACTGCTGGGCCCACATTGGTGCTGGTTATTGGAAATTGGCTATAAGTTTCTAAAGCGCTACCACTTTGATGGAAATATTCTCTGCCTGCTTTGTCTCTCTCAAAGTGAGTGCACAGGAGCAAATGAAGTCAGTATCCCGTATTTATGGTGCACAAGGGTGGGAGCTGGTCGCCCACATAGTGAGTATGGCCCACGGTCATTGAGAGGTTTTCCCTGGCATTGCCCTCTGGGCTCATGCTTTCTGTCTGTCTCTGTCTCTGTCTCTTTCTGTCTCTGTCTCTTTCTGTCTCTGTCTCTTTGTCTCTCTTCCCACCTCTCGTTCTCTCTCTTTCTCAGGGCCTCACCATGGAAGTCACTGGGGTTGGACAACTAGGGCTAGGGCATGCCACTGGAATGCTTGGAGGTGGACAGAAAAGGCAGGATCTCTAAATAGAGATTTTATGTCCTTGTGAGCAGATCAGGTGCTCCCTGGGGATCCTGGCCCTTTCTTACTGGCATTTTTCGTGTGAATGTATTTGCCTGTCATCCTATTGTGATGGCTAAATACTCATTATTCACAAGAGGCTTGAAAGGACTTAAAAGTCCAGCATTCTCTCTAATCTTATACTTCTCCCACTCCCTTACATTTGAAGGTAAAATGTGGGGCCCAAGAAAGTACAAACAGTGAGGTAGGGATGTTTTAGTGGACGAAGAGACATGGTAGCTACAAACCTTCAGTAGATAGCCCAGGACAAAGGGGTCATCATGGTGGGATTATCATTTGAGAAACAACAGACTCGTTTGTGCAGAGCAAGGGGACCAAAGTGTAAGAAAGGCTTTTGGCCTAATGTCACCCTTCTTAATCTTCTGATGAAGAGTCTAGCCACTTACCAAACACCTTGTGTGCACAAGACATTAATAGCATCATAATCAATCTTTCTGTTACTATGACTTTCACTCATTCCTTCAGGCCCGCATCCACAAACAACCATTCAGTATCACCCTCCACCCATTTATGCTACAGACTGGTGGACTCCTCCATGGAGAAACAGATCACAGTTTCTTGTTTCCTTGTTTCTTTTTACTTTTTGAGGCAGGGTCTTGCTATGCAGTTCAGGCTGGCCTCACAATCACTATGTACACCAGGCTGCCTTGAACTCATGGTTAGCCTCCTGAGTGCTGTAATTACAAACATAAGCCACCATGCCCAGCTAGCATAAAGGTAATGGATAAAAATAAAGAATAAAATTAACCCATTGTGCTGGTGCATGCCCTTAGTTCCAGCAGTTGGGAGACTGAGGTAGGAGGATGGCCACAAGTTTGAAGCCAGCCTGAAGGTACATAGTGCAAGGCAAGTGGGAAATGCCTAGTGAGACCCTGTCTATAAAAGTCATTTGGATAAGAAGAAACCAGGGGGGGAAAGGACACTTTTATGAGTGCAAAAAGAGGAAAGGCATTATTGATTTCATTAGGTGTAAAACCAAAGAAAGAAAAAACAGACTCACTACAGCCAAAGAGAAAAATGAATTCTCTACCAAAGAGAAAAATGGGTTCATATGAAACAAAATGGGGAGAGGCATATTGATTTTATCAGATGTTAAACATGGGGCAAATAGATTTTCAATAGCCACCAATGTTTATGGAAATGCTTGTTGTATTATAGATTTCACACCTACCTTTTTGTTGTGGAATTGGACCAGGGAGTGCCTTGATGATGGTACAACTATTAACACTATGTAGCTTGCTAAATTCCTTGATTTTGTCTGTTTCCAGAAGAAGGTATTGTAAATTTACACACTTGGGAGGAAGTGGGAAAGCAGCCTAGAGCAAGTCTAGGGAAGAAAACAAGCCAGCACAAATCTATCTGAAGCTCTACAGACTTATAAAGTGTTACTTAACAGGGAGAAACTGCAGTTCTGCGCTCCTCTCACCAACTGTCAAAGATCCCCAGGCAGGGAAGGGAACCAAAGAGCTTCACTGAGCCTAGAGGTTGGCCCAAACAAGGGAGATAAAAGGAACAGTGCTGCTTGTTTCAGCTGCAAGGGCAAAATGTAACGGTTCTAATGTGACATAATATTGATAGAATTAATACTAGTTCTTCAGGATTGTTAATATTGTTGTCTTGGTTACTTTTCTTTAATTGCTGGGACAAAATATCCAACACCCAAGGTTAAGGAAGGAAAGGTTTATTTAGATTACAGTCTGTGGAGGTTTCATTCCCTAAACAGCTGGCTCCAAGGTAGATGGCATGGCACTGGGGCAACATTTCAAGAGGCAGAAGACAAAAAAGCAACAAGAGCAAAAGAAGGGAGAGCAAGTTTCTTTTTCTCCTTATTTTGCAAGCACATTACTACCCATCACCCCAGGGTGGATGTAGCAATCGTAGTATCTTATGTCCTCCTCTTGTACAGGTTGAAGAAGTTAGGATCCTGGCTCCCTGCTGAGTCTTTTAATTAAATCTCTGAACTTCTCAAGTTGATATGATGTAACAATTATTTTGTGATGTTCAGGCTGTGAAATAATTAAAATAAGCTTGTTTTTGTATCTGGAAACCACCAATTTTTAAAAAGTATTCAGTTGGTCAAAATGATGCTAAAATTGGTTATGTGAATGTAGTGCATATTGTTTATGTAGTATGACTTGGCATTCTCTCATCTTTCAAACACAATGCGTCAGAGAAGACCCATACTCCTGGGTGCAGGGTTGTGAATCAGTCAATGTGGGCATCTGGATTTATCAAGCACACTTTTATTTAAGTACCTACTGGCATGTCACTGTGTATTTTTTCCCAGAACACACTGGTTTCCAAGATAAAAACTGAGTACCTTCCCTTTCAAATCACTGTCCTCTGTCTCTAACTAACCTAGCAATAGTTAACTTCCTTTCTTGTACAACTGAGTTACAAGTCATAATATCTTGCAAGCCTTTGAACTCAGTTAATGAATTTAAAGGTAGCTGCTTGCCATGCATTAGGCCTCAGAACTCCTGATTTTCCAGCTAGTCTGTGTGTCTGCTACCTCACTGATGGCCTGTGCTTCCACCCTTTAGCAAAAGAAAAAAGCCTTGTTGAGAGTCTTTGATGTCTACATGTTTTGATGCTTGTTGCATTTACACCAAAAAATTGAGAAACTTACACCAAAAAATCCAGGAACTTATTTTCAACAGATTCACTCAAGAGAGTGAATTTGAGGCTAGTCTAGACATTATAATGAGACCTGATCATTAAGAACACACATCAAAGCACTGGCAAAAACAAAATGCAGCTGTGGAGTAGGGGCTTGGGAATGGTTCAGCAGTGTAGCACTTACCTATCATAGAAAAGGCCTTGCCTTTGATCTGCAGTGCCACAGAAGCAAAAATAAAGACTGTCTCATTGTGTCAAAGATTGCAGTGTTGGTTTGATTTTTTTTTACTGGCACTAGGGATTGAACTCACAACTGCATGCTTGCAAGGCAGACGCTTATGCCACTGAGCTAAATCCCCAGCCCTTGGTTTGACTTCTTATAATGAAGAAACATCATATAAGGGAAAGGAAATAATATAAGGGAAGGAAATCACAATCACTTTATAAGAGCCAAGAACTATGCTCGGGATGTACCCTCAAAGGGTCCAGGGGCCAATTTTGTCCATCAGGTGATATTAGCATGACTTTGCCAGACATTTAGAAGTGTGCTTTACAAGTATCCTGTACATCACTCAGGCCCATCTAGTTTTAACAAGAGTATCACATGATTAAATGTAACATTTTTCTTCTAGGCATACTAATGATGAAGTGTGGAGGATTTCAGAATATGAGGAAGAAACTGCTGGGCACACATAGTTGCACTCTGAGGTCTTTATACAACTCTACCTCTTCACCAGCAAGTGACCAGAGGATCAATAGTGGGATCCATTTAAGCAACTATTCTTACCCTCCCTTCTGGAAATATGTTAAGCTTCAGCATCTGTGAGTGTTTGTATATCCAGATGAGATATGAATCTTGTCTAAGGGAACTGGAATGTTTGCTTTCATGTTATCTTTACTCTTTTACAGAATATAACTCATTTAACTGTCATTTCTCCACCTGCATAATAAACGTATTCCTTTTTGCAGGCATATACTCATTGTATTGAATGAAACTCAGCGGATTGAGACAGTGTGAAAATCTTGACAGTGAAGCCTGCTGCCTCATTTCCAAATATTCACCTGTGAAACAGCCAGCCCTCCTTCTATTTCATTTAGTCCTGTCCTGTCCTGCATTCATGATGTTCTATTACATCAGGGGACTGATTCTTCCACAGGACACTGACCTTGGAATCTTCTGAGCAACCAAGAAACCCCATTTCAGGATGAGCATATTAAGTCCATTAAGAAAATAGCAGCTAGGGGCTGGGGATTTAGCTCAGCGGCATAAACGCCTGCCTTGCAAGCAGGTAGTCGTGAGTTTAATCCCCGGTACCGATTTAAAAAAATAAAAAGAAAATAGCAGCTCCGACAAGCGAGGGTACCCTGCTTAAATGAAATTATTGTTTGATTAAGTGAGATTCACATAATAAGAGCCTTATCTGGAAGTTCCTGGGTGACAGTCTACCATATGGGCTCTTATCAGCAGGCAGGAGTTTTCTTCCACACTTTGGACAGCAGCAGAGCAGGAGCCAATCAGTGATGAAGAGGTGGGCGCATGAACTGTCCAATCAGGTGAGTCGAGGTGGGTGTGGACTTCCGGTGTCATGGCTGCCCTGTCCACATCATAGTGCTGAGAATTTCTGTCCTCGCTAGACTGCTTACTGATACTTCTACGGCCTACAGCCCTCATGGGAAGGACTCTTGGAGACCAGAAAGACACACAATGGTGATGCTGTGGGACGGAAACCGGGGAAGGGATGGAGTCGGGCTGAGGTGTGAGAGGAGGCGGCCAGAACCAGCTCTGGGGAGCTGCAGCCTCCCTGCCGAGCTCTAGACCCCGAGGTCTTCCTGGGCGTTTCCCTCGGCGGGGTCAGGTCACCTGTTAATGTTACCGCGGGTGCCAGGATCTTAGGTCTGCAGACGCACCCTCATTGGGCTTGTCTATCTCTAACGTAGAAAAAAGGAAAACCAGCACTAAGAAACACTGTATTGCAGGTATTGTAAGAAGCAGTGGAAAGTCTCTCTGGGAGAGGAGTGGGGACCTTCAAAGTTGAGTCACCAACAAATCTGGGTGCAATACCAGTTTGCGTGGCAGAGATAACATCCGCACCCCCTCTCGTGGTCCCTGTGCTGAGTCGATTCTAGGGTTGGTTGTGTGTGTGTGTGTGTGTGTGTGTGTGTGTGGAGTATAGGAAAATTTTCCAACTAGTTTAGCAGCTCACTTTGGGGAAGTGACCTTGTTGAAGGGGAGGTTAAAGGAGCAGATTAGCCTCACAGACACATGTGTGAAATCGCAGGCCATTAGTATGACTGTTTGCTGTGACACAGAGGCTGTACCTCCTCTACTTGTTAAGGGGCTCACCACATGCTCTAACCCTACGTATGAGTCTGAGTTGTCCCTACATTAGGAGAGTTTTCACTGGAAATATGAACAATAGCTTTCTGAAACTTGGAATCATCCTGAGTGGATGGCCAGATGGCTGCTCAATCCAGAGCTCACTTGAGATAACCAGAGCACAATAATTGCCCAGTTATTTAATGGCCACCTCTCACAGGTGACTGTGTGTATTGAAAATGATCATTTGAAACTCTGGTTCTCAAACCAATTTTGTTACCATGTAAAGTTCAAAGGAAATTGAGATTTTAGAGAAAAAGTGGGTATTTCTCAGTTGAAGTTCCTGGAAACTGGGGAGCTTGGTAGAGAGTGGCTGCAACTCCTCACATTAGGGAAAGCTGCATTCCTTGTTTTCTTAAGAAAGTTCGCTCTTGGTCTCTGTCTATAGTTGATTACCTCTTCTTACTTTAATTGTTACCAATATGGCTGCATACACAGCTCTACCTTCTCAGGTCATTATCTGTAGCTAGATGCTTTATTGGTAAGGTTGCAAAACAAACAACTCTTTACATCAGGCTATTTAAATGAAGCCTTCCAGAGAGTTTAGAACTCTGGGGAAATAGTAGGGATATTAATGTATTACCATGTGGAAAGAGGTAGTCTTTTCTGTCAAAGGAAATAAAACAAAAAAGAAAAAATGCTATCTTATAACCATTCTTACTTTTGCAATACTATTTTTTAATAAAATGAACATGTGCTTGAGTCAGACTTCCTGGAAAACTTGAGACAAAGGGGTACTTGGTTGTTGACCTGTCATAAAACTTTGAAACAAAGTACTTTCCAGGTCACACAATTGTCTCTGCTTAGGAACTATGACCTGATCAATGTAGCTGATTGGTTTAGATCATGAGGTCTACTCCCCTTCATGGCACTGTGCATCAAGGATAAAATGCAACCTGTTCAGCTTACTTTCTTGGCATTTCCTGAGTGTACTGTCTTCTGCTGAAGGAAAACTTGCCTCATCAAGAAACTTTTCAAAGTTTACTTCTTTGGCGTGTTTGTGACACCATAGAATTCCTGCTCAGTATCAAGGGAGGGGAGAGTTCTTGCTAAGGACAACTTTCTAAAAGTGCTGTGTATTAAAACCCAAACTGAGAAACACATTGAACTGAGACATCTGCATGGGTATGCTACATGCGATCCTGGGGTGGAGGGAAGGACAGGGGCTGTCATCCCTGAAATGATTGCTGTCTTTGCACTGTTTCTACGTACTGATTTAAATTTGAAATATTAGTTGAGATGGGCTCTGTATAAAACAAGCAGTGAAGCAGAAGTAAATCCCCAAAGTGAGAATCTACAGGCTTAATAATGAATGGGAGAAAATGGAATTTTTAAATAAGGAGTAGCAAAGTGGAGGGAGAAAAAATATGGGGGGCCATTACTTACAAGAGAGAGTTTAAATCAGCAATGACGATAGTGACCTCTTTCTCCTGAGATCAGATTGTTCTGTGACAATAACTGAAGGATTGTGTGCTGCCTTGCCCTGCGAGGGTTAGAGGCCACAGGCCTAAAGAGAGTATAGAAGGCTTGTAACAGATACTCTTGATGTGTTTTATGTTTGTACTGATCATTTCACCTAATCATTTGTGAGGCAAAATTGAAATTAGGAAACTTGGCTTGTAGGTCTAATAATAGACCTACATCATCTATAACCATAACATCAGCATTGAAGTAGAATGGGAAGTGGTTTGTCTTGAATATAAAGACTACAAGATTTGTTTGAAGTTTTTTTTGTTTGTTTGTTTGATGACTGAATGCAGAAATTTTTTTCTGAGCTACACAGCATCCATGTATCTTTCTTAGTTTTTGCAACCTAGTATTGCTCAGTTGTCCAAGTGGGGAGAAGTTTTGATACTGTGTCAACCTCATTCATTACTTAGAAGACAGGCGTGTGACATTTAGCAATGTTGGGGTCCTCTAAGCACCATGATTTACTAAGATTTCAATGCCCAAGGAGACTAAACATGAGGGAGGCCTCACAGTACACAGCTTTAACTTAAGCTTCTGGGAGGACTGGGGCAGGAATATGGTAACACCACACCCAACATGGACAGTTGAATATGAGCCTGTTTCAATGTGGAGTAAATATTTTATGATGTTCCTTCAGTATAATTTACATGACTCGCTTAGTTAAATTTTTACTACTAAAGACAACTAAAATAATTCTAATGGAATTTTGCAGCTTTGTAATTTATTTACTTCTCACTAGTAGTATATGGTATGTTAGCATCTGCTAACTGATGATAGTGGTCATGAGTCACTGCTGTGTCAGCAGCTGGACACCCAGGGTGAATAGACAGTGGTTACAGTGCACTGTGCTCCATAATCTTCATGAGATATTTAGTACTTTATTATGAATTTGTCTATGTGTTACATAAATATCCTCAAATATAGATGAATCTGTGTTGAGCAGGTTGGCAGTGATGTTTGATTAATCAGGATATTCTGTGCATTTTCAATACGGTTTATTTTCACATTTCTTTGGATTGATCACAATATTTTTGTTTGCTAACTCAGCATGTGTAGACGCATTTCTAGAACTCTGAGTAGAGTCCTTAGAAGATGGCTTTCATCAAATCGTTTCCTGTTTCAAGTGTTGTATTGATCTTTTTGCCAGAGCAGCCCAGCCAGGAGAATAGTATGAGTACTATTTGGAAAATGGAACGATACTCTGGGGATTTTTGTTTTGGAGGTGTGTTTGTTTTGCTTTGACTTTGTTTTTATTTGGTATTATACTGAGAGCTCTCACGTTGATCATATTCTTTGACTTAGCACAAAAAGGTAATAGATCTGGCTATGGTGGCGCACACCTATAACTGCAGCACTGGTAAGGCTGAGGCAGAACAGTTGGTGTGAGTTTGAGGCCAGCCTAGGCTCAAAGTAAGCTTACACTCAGCATAAATTACACAGTGAAACTGTGTCTCAAAGAGACAAGAAAAAAGAAAAGAAGGAACAGAATAGAAATTTTCACTAAACACACAGGCTCAGCCGTTTAACCTATGACACTAAGGATGTGCAAGGCTATAGGGAAGACTTCAGTTCCTAGCTCCAATTTATGCTGATTCTGTGAACCCTTCCAGCTGTTTTAATCTTAGAACAAAGTCTGCCTTTCTGTACTAGGTTGCTCATTGCTTTAACCCCACTTCCTCTCACATAATGCTCAGGCTGGAGATGGGGAGAAACTTGGCAAGTCTTACGGTCTTTGCCCATTTTAGGTACCTTGTTATTCAGGAGTTTATGTGTCTACTGCTCCTGTTAAGTTGGTGATTTTTAGATGTTGCTTATTGTGAATATCAGAAAACTTATGCGTGTGTCACAATTCACTTGTTATCCTCATGATGTAGAGCATTAGGGAGCTTACAGCAAGGATAGAGGTCAAGGATGTTGATCAACGTCACAAAACACATAGGACAGCTCATAAAAGAATAAAATATTGGCCCTGTGGATTAAAAACCAGTGGTCAACTTAAACAGCTAAAATGAATCAGCCTAGTGCTTAGTGTAGATGGTCCACTTGAGGGCTGTTGCCAGTGTAAAAAGGAGACCTGCAGAAGAATAGTGTTGTGTGCTCTCATAAGGGGTGGTGTTGTTTGGAGCTGTTTTTTCTCCTGGAACCAATTTGTCATTCTGGCTTCCCGGATATGAACTTGGCAGAAGAATTGGGACCTTGTCACTGAGAATGGCTGCAGTTCACATTGGGAGAGCTCTGGTCCTTACTTTGAGTATCACTTCCTGGCTCTAGAGGGAAGATGTGTGCGTTTAATCTCCAGGAGAAGCTTGTTGTGCTGGCTTCCTGATAAATACTCAGCTGTTCTCATGATTGTAGGAGCTTGGGACCTCATTGTCACTGAGGATGGCTGTGGTACTTTTCAAGCCCTGGTCCTAATGTTGAGCACTGCTTCTTGGTCACAGTGCAGAATCTTTAACCTACTAACACAGATCCTTCACTCTGATGGCATAGACTTTCTCGCTTCTACTGCTGACTCTGGGGCTTTCCCAGTGCAGATCCATGAAACAGACTCGCATGAGTCACTGTCATGGACTCTAGATTTTCAGCTGAACTTAGGTAGGTTATTGCCATGAGATCCAGGTCCCTGCTAGATTTTCTGGGTCTTTAGCATATGGACAGATTTCCTGCACTTTCTTTGTATTTGACTCCTTGGGTGACCAATGTAAATAATACTATAAATTATGTGTCTTGTATTGTCTTGTTTCCCTTGTAAACGCTGACTAAAACAGGCCATAAATATCACTAGTGCTCTCCCTGGAGGTGTCTCCTTTCCACACTTGTGACTCTGCTCACCATGACTCTGTTCTACACCATGGCTTCAT